TGTTTGATTAACAGTAGCCACCAAAGATTGCTTTTTGTTTGAGGTTGTGGCTTTTTTTGGTCAGTGCTACCTGTGTATAGACAGGAATCATTAATGGCTCACCACATTTATTTCTGTGTGTGAAGCAACACTGTGTGTTCTTCCATAGCCTGTGCTACACCTAAATAAGTTAAAAAATCATCAACCCTGCAAACACATGCTTTTCCAAAGACATCAATAGCTCCACTGACTTATTTTTAGAGTTATGTCACTTTAGATTTGCAGGATTAGGATTTAACTTGATGGAGAAGTCAGCAGCTTGTTTGCAGCCTGACATTTTTGGCAGTAGGCCTTGAAATCTGAAAGTTTCTTCCCTACTTGAGATTTGACAACAAGCATTTCACTGTCAGGACAACTTAAAAGTTCTGATTTTTTGCACTTCAAATTGTGAGATAAAAATGAGCATTGCTATTTCAAACTGATGCTGGAGGTAAGAAATGTTAAGATAAACTGTGGTGTCTCACAGGATTCTTGGATAACCTGAAGACTTTGCTGGGCCATCCTGACAGCACCGTCCGGCAAAAAACAACAGAAGTTCTCTATCTGATGAGCATGCACAGTGTCGGCAGGTGGGTGCAATTCCAAGTTTATTGGATGGTAATGGGAAGAGATAAAGATGTTCCAGTGAGAACACAGGAACAGATCTCTAAGTTTTTTTAAGATAAAAAGAACATAAGAGTAGTTAGGTATCTCACACATGTATCTGAGTTTTATTTGCTTTGTTACATCTGTCCTCCTGTGTTCTCAGGCAGGGGCTAATACAAAATGGAGTGATTTCTGCCCTCACTGGGCTCCTGGATGATCCAGTCGATATCTGTCGGAAGAACACCCATCAGATTTTTGATATGATGGCAAAATTACCTGAAGGTAGGGTTTTTTAAGCACCTAAATATTCAGATAGACAAGGCAGAGAGGAAATCAGGTAAGTTCATCAATATAATACATTCCAGATTTATGTTATACTATTTTTCTTGAAAATCATATTTAAAACCAGTATCTTTTCTACTTTTGCTCAGCTTAGTTTTCTTTAGTTTGTTAATTTTCTGAAGTCTTATGCAAGTTAAGGCTCCCTGCTCAAGGTACAGGTTTTGTGGACTGCATGCTTTGAATTTGTATGTCAGAATCTGGCATCAAAATTTCACTTTGTCCTCTTGAGTTCAAAATATGGATCAGCTGTTCATTATGCTGTACTAATTTCATAAGTTTTGTAATCTGAACATTAACCTTAAACTTTTCCAGTTGATCTAAATTACAATTTTAACACTAAAGTCTCAGTGGATAGAAATTATCAATTAAAAAGCCATACTCTTTAAAATAATGGGAAGTATATTGTCTGAGGAATTCTGTTACATTGCTGGTGCTTAAAAAGAATTAAATGAATTCTTAAAGCCTTTCTGAGTGTACACGAATCCTAAAAATCTAAAGATGTATTTTTACATGCTTGTAACACTTTTGAAAGTTCTAAATAATTGAATCCAAATGAAGGATATTATTATGTTGGGCTAAACAACCTTGTGAAGATCAACATAGAAGACCAGATTTTCTTTGAAGAGTCTGTGAAAGCATCTCTGAGTAATTATCCTTAAAAAAAAAAAAAAAAAGTGGCTTTCTATTTATTTAGATAAAAATATAATGTATATACATAAATATACCTGTGTGTGTTTAAGGGTTGGAAGATAACTCCTTGAGCAGAATTGTGTCACTGCAGAATTGATTCACATACAGATGGCTGCTTACAAGCAGAACAGAAAGGTGCTAAAACTTTTTGCTATGAGACAGTTTGGGGAAATATCAGAGAGAGCCACACATTTTCCAGTAGGTAATAAGAGTCCCAAGGCCCGACAATTCATCTGACAAATCACAGGTACAGAAATAGCCTCTGCTTGGTAATTCAGCCTTTTTCAGCCAAGAAACTGCCTGTCTTGCTCTTTGCATTCACTGCTGCACCTCACACACATAATGAGCCAGGACGTACCTGGAATCAGCTGGGGGAAGTCAGCAACTAATGCACATCCCACAGCTCGACTGGTGATGTTCTCAGGCCAGGAAAGCAACCTGTTCTGTGCTAGACAAAGGGACAAAAGCTGCACATGCACTTGGCATCAGCTGCAGGTGTTTGTGGTAACTGGGAGCTGGTCAGTGACTCCAGGCAGCTCCATGCCAGGACACCTGGTCTTGCTCCAAATGAGTAATTTAGGAACATGAGGTTATTTTAAGCAAATCCACTTAAAGGTTATTTTTGATTCCTAAATTTAAGGATGTATACCAGTATCTTTCAGGAACACTGGGATAGTTAAATCCAAAAGGTGGGGAAATCCACAAAGACTGGGAGAACCCTGAAGAGTAACGTTTATAGAGGAAACAACAACTTAGTGAAAAAGAATTAACAGGCAAAAGAAAGAAAAAATAGGATAGATAGGCTATGTATTCAGTAGAGGATAAAAGAGGGAGAACAACCAGCAGGAAGAGAAAATTCAAAACATTGAAAAAAATTAATAGCAAAACTTTCACTCTTTATATAAACAATTAGTTGACACACACAATACCTGACAACATTAGTGAAAGGGTGTTGTGCAGTGGTGAGTGACCTGGGCAGAAACAACTGCAAAAATAGTTCTAGGAAAAAAACATAATTCATTATGAGATGGTTAATACTGGAAAAGTTTAATAATTCTTACCTATTCTCTGTCCTATTTTTTGGGGGTACTAAATCCTTTTAGACAAAGATTGAGGTAGATTAGATGGGGCAATGGGTTTCTAAGCTTGCCAGAACCTCTGTTTGGGAAGAGCCCAAGATTTAATATTTCTCCTACATTACTGACTCTCAGTGTCTCCACTATTCCACCCTTGGAAAACCATAACCCACTGGAGGTGTGGATAAAGACTGTTTAAGGATACCTTTTTCCCCTCAAAACTTGTTTTGCTGCATGGAGTACAAATGCTGAGAGGACAGATGGCATTCTTACTGCAGCAGATGGGACATCTCTTCTGTGAATGTCATTGTTGCCCAGGTGAAGTGAAATCCCAGCTGTATTAATGCAGCTCTTTCAGGTGGCAGTGCACTGCATCACTGATAAACCTGAGAACTGAGAAAATAGATGCAAATTTAATTGCATGATTTATCCAGGTGGATGACTAAGAGTCAAGGGATTTAATTTCAGCACCTGTCTTAACCCCAGACTTTTTAGTTTTAATTTTCCTATGCCTCAGTTTTCTTATATAATCACAATTTTTATACAGAATTTTCTGTATAAAACCAGAATTTATTTTAACATCTTGAATTCTTCAGCTAGAAAACAGAATAACCATTAAATACTCAGAATATTAAGATCAAAAACATTATAGGAATTAAATTATTAGAGAGTTAATAGCAAGAAATTGCTATTCAGAGAACACGATTATGGGAATTGATTATTCAAACTCAATTATTTAGTTCTTTGTTCCTCCCCAGGCCTATGCTTTTCTCAAGTCAAATAGGAACACAAGTGGTGTTTTACTTTATTTTCTCCTTCCCAAGGCAGCCTTCACTCAGTGAGAAATGGAACTGCCTGCTTTTCTTTAGAAATCCCCTTAGGCCTTTGTTCAAATATCCAGGTTCTCCACTTCACTGTAGGTTGTCTCTAACACTTCTGTTGGGAAGGGCCTTCCTAGTTGAATAAAGATTTGTTTTTAATATACAGTGTCTCTTTCCCTCCTCATAACTTGACTACACTTTTGGTTTGATCCAGCTTTCTTATCTTGAAGCTGTGCTGTAATAACTGCTGGTGTTTTCTTGTCCCTTCTTTAATGGCCACAGTCCCACGAAAGCTGGAGGTGAAGGAGCCGTAACATCTAAGAGACCCTTCATTGGCAAAAGAGGCCCTGACTGACTTCCTACCTTTTCACAGTTCACCAGCTCACAACAGGGCATCACACTAGAGAAAGCAAATCAGACTAGAAGTGCTGTACAATTTCCCAAGGAAATTATAGCAATTTTCCAGGAAACAAAGTGCCGAGGATCCTGTTCCAGCAATTACCACAATGTTTTGAGTAAACTCACCAAGTCAAGCAGCCTGGCTGCAAACATCACAGGCAGCAACACCTTCTCACTACAAATTCATTCCCCCCTCTGTGCCATGACAGACCTTTTATGCTGTGAAGGCACAGCCTCACTGGCTCGTTTGCCTCCTCAGCTGGAACAGTTACCAGGGAATGCTTAAAGGGACCCTGTGTCTTCAGAACAAGTTAAAAATACCATGTTCAAAATTAGACAGATCTTTTTCCCCATTATTATGTCTGGACTGAAGAGTCTTAACCTATGGCTTGAGCCTCAGGGGATATTTTTCTTATTTTGCATTCTCTAGCAAGGTTGAACATTAATATTGCTGGAATCACTGCCTTCAACAGTGTTATAGTTCTCTTGGCAGTCCCAGCTCATCATCAGCTGAAGTCTCCAGGTCACTTAGAAAAATCCTAGCTTGCACTTTGATACTCTCAAACAGGTCAAAAGAGGATCCTTAAACATAGGATAAGAAAGATTAGGACTTTTTAAATGCATTTTGTAGCAATGCCAAGAAGCAATCAAAGGAATAAAGCTATCCAATCACTGTCAAATATTTTCAGCTGGTGCCAGAAATGATTAAGGGAGTGAAGGGTCCTGAGTCAAATTATCCACCATCCTCTAACCACGGATCTTGGTCTATCACTGTCTCCCCCAAAAGTAAAACAATACATGCAACCAGAATTTGTAAGGATATTAGGGGATTAATGGGAACACGTCCCCTAAATCTCACTCAGGTGCTCAAGTGTAATTGCTTAATATTGAAATTGCTGAGTGTTAATGAATAAACCGAGGAAGGAGATCTGGAGCAAATAAAAGAAACCTCACCAGCCTGTCATAAAGGAAAGAAAACACCCCAATTATTATTTGATTAAGCAACTGTCATAACACTAATTAATGAACACACTATAGACACATTCAGTATCATTTGAATTATTTATTTTTTTAAGTGGACAATTTAAATGTTGATGTTGTTAACCATTTTGTTTCAATTTTCTGAGAGCCCTTGGCTGAAATTTCTTGCACTAATCATAGTACATAAGGGGAACAAAAGTAGAAGGTGATTTTCCAGTGTGCATGTGTGTCTGTGTCTCTGTGTACGTATGTGCTTTACAGTTATCAAACATTTATTTACACACCAACTTTACACTGAAGTCTTTAAGAAGTCTTTTCTATGGCAGGGGAAAGAATCAACTGACCAAAGACTTGGGTCTATGTGATCCATTAGAGATTTTCCAGTACAGTCCCACAGAGCTTCTTATGCATTGAAACTTTTGCCAGAATGTTACTCCATCCAGTAGTGTTTCTTTCTGAGATGAAACCTGGAGCTGAGGAATGCATCTCTTCAGTTTCCTTAATTTTCACTAAACTGTAAATAATTTAAATTATTAAATTGAAATATCAAGACATTTAGTTATTGTTCATATCGCTCATCTTTAACCTTCTAATAATACATCACATTTTAAAAATAATTTTAAAAAAAGCAATCAAAAAAAAAAAAAAGACTTTGGAGGCTATATACTACACAATCTCCATGGCTCCTGCTGCTTGGGAAATATAACATTACAATTCCCAGAATATATTTGGAGCAGTGGAACAGAATTGTCCGTTGGCAACTTTCACATTCAGCAATCCAGACACTACAACAATAATTTAAAAAATTGCTTTGTGATTTATTTTTTTTTTAAACTGTATTAAAAAAGGAACACTAACCTACTCCTTAAATATAGTTTGGTTTTTGTGAAACACCACAAGATTTGGCAAAAAAAGATGTAAAAGAAGACTGTTTCGATGTATAAAACTCCTTACCAGTAGAAGAAACACTGACCTTAATTTGGCCTAGTCACAGATTAATTTCGTGGGTTTTGCTGCATATTTGAAGCCTTAAAGAGCAGAAGGAGCTGCTTGTCAGTTTGGAAATCACAAAACATTGCGCACCACCAATCCCTTCAGTAGGCAAGGTGTCCATGAGGAACAGGAAAGCAGAGGGGTGTACATAGAATATCTGTGGGCATGTGCATGTGCATACAGGACGGTGTGGACAAACTCCTCACTGTGGGTGCCAGTACTGTGGGACGTGCCCCTTCTCTACAATCTACAGCAGTGCTTTCCTTCAACTCTCCTGTTCTGTAGCGTCTGCTTTGAACTGGCTTTGCTCCCCAACACAACCACTCAGCTCCACACCCTGCAAACGAGTTCATCTGCCACTCACCAGATTTACATCTTTATGTCAATAAAACTTTAGGACAACTCGATGAAGAATTATTTCTTACACAAAACATGATAACACTCCCACTGTAGGAAATGGAATGAAACAAATGGATTAAAAGTGCAGTGACTGTGGTGAAACATCTCCACAGAGTTAGGCCTCAATCTCTTTGTTTTGTTTTTTGGGGTGTTTGAGCTGTTGGTTGTTTTGGTTTTTTTTTCACTGGGGGTGTGTGGTTTTCTCAGAGAGGAGACTTTCACTCTCCAGAACATTTATTTGTGGAAAATGATGTAGCAAGTTAAGGGGCCATAAGAGGAACTGTGTGCATACATCAGATTTCCCCTTTTCTCTCCTTGGGCTATTAAGCACTGCCCCATTTTTTTCCCACTAGAAGTGGAAGTGGTTAGCCCCTTTTTTATCGCTCCAGGAAAACAGATTAACCCAAGGATTCTTAGCAGAGGCCAATGTATTTGAGATTGTTCTGAATGATGACATCTGTCACTGCATCAAACACGAACTGTATGTTACTGGTGTCAGTGGCACAGGTGAAGTGTGAGTAGATCTCCTTGGTCTCCTTGTTGCGGTTCAAGTCCTCGAACTGGCGCTGGATGTAGACCGCGGCCTCCTCGTACGTGTTCTGGCCCTTGTACTCAGGGAAGCAGACTGTTAAGGGGATGCGACGGATTTTTTCTGCCAGCAGATCTTTCTTATTCAAAAAAAGGATGAGGGAAGTGTTGATAAACCAGTTGTTGTTGCAGATGGAATCAAACAGGCGCAAACTTTCTGCCATTCGACTCTGTAGGAGAGGAAACAGCGGTGTCAGCAGTAGTGTTTGAGCGGGACTGTGGGGGGCACACAAAAGACATCACTGTACAGCAGGGAGCAAAATCTGCCTTGGGAAACGAGTCTGCTTTCATTTGGGCACTGTCCATCTTACCTGACAATGGCATTTCAGGGATTTTAATTCACTTGTTTTCATACAGTATATTTCACCACAGACTGCTTGAGAACACTCTAAAACTGAAGATTTAGAAACCATAGGTGCAACTTGGGAAAACATGGTTCTATTCAAATTTGGTTAGCACTGATAACAGAATCTTAAACAGGGATGAGTGTTTTCTAAGGATTTCACACCACACATACATTCTGCTTTTAATTTTTTTTTAAAAGATGGAATTAATACAGCCCAGTTATAACACTGCATTGTTAGATGTGTAGTTTAGCATGCCATACATACTCAGAATTTTTTCCTTGCCTTCCTGTACAATGGTAAGCTGGAAAGAATGCACAGCAGCCACACTCTGCTGTGGTGGGACAACCTGAATGTTTATAGCTGAAAGCTGAGTTTAGCCAGATGTGTTTAACATCTGCCTGCTGCCATGAGTAGGTAAACTCCATTTCTGAACACCTGAGGATGACCACCACAGTTACAAAGTGGAATTACAACCCAGTGCTGCTCCAGACTGACCGCAGGGAGGTCTGTTAGAAATCAGGAGCCCTCAGGAATTTCCTGATGTGTTGCCACTGTGACAGTTCCTGCTGATGCCGCTGGAGCTGTCCATGGTACCGACCCTTGGGAGGCTCAGTGTACTCACTGGTTTACACCTCTAAATAGATGTGAACAGATGGAATGTCTTGAAAATATTCTAGATTATTAAAATAAATACCACTAAACTATTGTCAAAAGTAGATACAGAAAATATCTTCATCGAGCATTTTTGGCAAGGTCAGTGTTTTCCAGCATGTTTAAGTTTCTGAAATGTTATGTGTACATTGTGAGTCACTGCAGTGGCCCAGAGAAAGTGAACAGAAGGGATTTGGGATATCAGAAACAAAGAGTATATTTTGTTTACAAGATTTTGCAAATATGTTCGTGTTCCATTTGTCTGGTTTTTCTTCGGGGGGAGGGGACTCTTGGGGATGGTCCAGTGCAGGGCCAGCAGTTGGACTCGATGATCCTTGTGGGTCCCTTCCAACTTGACATGTTCTGTGATTCTGTGAAAATAATCAAGAGTCGAGGCATTTTTGTTGTTTGACTGTGAAGTTTTTTGGCCAGTTTTCCTCTTTGGAAAGTGGAAGCAACGGGATGATTTTGGCTTTTAATAGAAATAATAGTATTTTGGGCCTAATTCTCCTGAAATTTGTGTCATTTATGTCTAGTGTATCTCCCATCTCCCTTGACTTCACTAGAGTCAACTCATATTCCAACTGGTGAGATGAAGAGAGAAAAATCGTTCACTGTTTAGTGCACAAAGAGTAATGTGATAATATAATATAATAAAATTTACTTTCTATTTCGTGGGGTAGCTTTTTTGAGAATGCAAAGGTATTGTTATTACTTCAAAGGAAATCTGCAACAGTTTGGATCATTATTGTTGCACTAAAACAGTATCCTGAAAAAATTAGCCCTGAAAAATGCACAGTTGCTGAAACAGGAGCAAACTGGGTTACATAAGCTTTTCAAATTCCCTCTCCTCTCTTCCTCACTTCGTGCTACTGCTCCTTTCCATTTGCTAAGGACTGGCTTGGTCAGAACTGCGTCCTCTGTACTCACAGTTCCTGAAGGCATTGATTTCTTCTGTGTTTACAGACTAAACCCACACTCTGCTGGCAGTTCCTGGTCACCCCAAAGCCCCCGGAGCACAGGGGGGGGCACTGTGAGGGCTGGCACTGCCTCAGCATGGGGGAATCTCACTGCCAAGCCCTAAAACCACACCCGAATATAAGCAAAGTTACACCGTTCAGCTCTTGGGGGTGGGTTGTTTGCTTCTGCCATTGTAAAGGCAGATTAGTAGGTGTAAAAATGTAGCTTTCAAAATATGTTTGAGCAATTATTTTTTATTTTCACAATGCAAATCATGACACAAGAGATAATCCCCTAAAAACATCACAGATCTGTTTCCAAATACCCATGCTTTCCTTTCCTGATTTTGTAGCTGATAATGAAATTTTTATCTCAGTTGAAATGCTTTTGCTACTAATAGGCTGGGAAAAAAATCTTTTAGAGCTAATATAGGTTTTTGGCCAACTCTCAGAATAATCATGCCAAGGGGATATTGCATTTTAAGAGGTTTGTGTTTATTACTGTATTTTGTTGTGAGTCATAACACTGTCCCTCTGCTCCCAAATCCTCCCGTGCAGTCTCTAATCCAGGGACAAAAGCAGAGCTAAACCCCTTCCATAAATTATGAAATGTAATGAACGTGTACAAGAGGATGACAGTTTTAAATTACTGTAAACTTGGTGATCCCTTACGTGATGTGAAAAAAAAATTAGTAAATTGTTGATCTTGACACCTAAGAAATTTCTTCTTCAGTATAATATTATTATAAAATTGGCTGGATATCTGAAAGTCATAAAATCCTTAGCTAAACTAAATAGGATTTATTTCAGTTAAAAGCAAGTTAATCAAGAATCATTTCCAACAAGGATGCAGGCTATGTTACCCCAGTGAAGGGCTGTGGGTTGCATGGTATAAATATATGATATTTTTTGGGAAATGAAACCCCCAAATCTATGCCATGATTTAACTTGAATAGCACAGGTAGGAAAATGTATCACTGAACAATGAGGAAATGTGTCAGTAAGGAAAGCCAAGGAAAAACCCAGTCTTCAAATCCTAAAATCACAGAATGGGTTGGGTTGGAAGGACCTTAGATATCATCTTGTTCTGCCACGGGCAGGGACACCTTCCACTAGCCCAGGTTGCTCCAAGCTCCATCCAGCCTGGCCTTGGACACTTCCAGGGATGGGGCAGCCACAGCTCCTCTGGCAACCTGTGCCAAGGCCTGCCCACCCTCACAGGGCAAAGTTTCTTCCTGATATCCAATCTGAACCTACTCTGCACAGAAGCCATTCCCCCCTTGTGCTGTCACTCCAGGCCTTTGTAAATCGTCTCCATCTTTCTTGTTGGCTCCCTTTAGGCACTTGAAGGCCCCAATAAGGTCTCCCTAAGCCTTCTTTTTTCCAAGCTAAACAAACCCAGTTCTCTCAGCCTCTCATTGCAGGACAGGTGCCTCCTCTGGACTGGCTCCAGCAGCTCCACGGCCTCGCTGTGCTGGTCCCCAGGGCTGGAGGCAGCTCTGCAGGGGGCTCTCACCTGGGGGAGCAGAGGGGTAGAACCCCCTCCTGCCCTGCTGCCCTCACTGTGGATCAGCCCAGCACACAGGGGGGTTCTGGGCTGGGACATGTCCAGCTCTCACCTACCAGCACCCCAAGTCCTTCTCCCCAGGGCTGTTCTCCATCTGTCCATCCCTCAGCCTGGATTGATCCTGGGGGTTGCCCTGACCCAGCTGTTCAATCTCACTTTCCACATGGGATTAAATGACAGACAATTAAATCCAAACCTAAGCAAAAAAATTACATATGGCAAGACGAGGCCTTTATAAATTCCAGGTGGTGGCTTATGGTTTGTTCAGTGCCTCGACCACCTTTCCAATAGCAATGCACAAGAGCCAAGTGATTTCTGCTGTAACTTAAGAGGTGGTATGTCCACTGTTCTAAGATGAAGGCTGACACTGAAAATATGTGCTGTATCCACTCATGTGCTCCTGACATAACAAGCTCATTTCTAGGTTTTGTTAATACTGTAAAATTACCGTTCATATCATATGGAAAGTGAACTTGAGAGGGTTATGGCTCATTATAATAAAAATAGAATAAATTATTGTACAACTCCCAAAGGTGTTATTAAAATTTTCTATTAACATGGAGAAAAAAATAAGGATAGGAAAAGGTATTATTCTTCTCTGCAGTGTCTTTTCCAGTTCTGGAATCTTGAAGGTGGTCAGAAAAAAATGTGCTGCTGTAATTTTATAATTATATACAAGCTGGGGTATAAGCAAGATAATGCCAGTGCTTTATCCAGATGGCCTTGTTGGGGGCTAATTGCAAATTCTTCTCTGAGCATAAGAACAAGGAATTGGTTGCTTAAGGGAAAGAACTTGCTAAGGAACAGATGGCTGCTTCTATTCTTCCAATACTCTGCAAACATACAAATGTCCCTGGTCATCCTCTGGAACAGTAGAGGTGTGATTAGCAGAAAAGAGTTCAGAACAACTAAGAGCTTCCAGTTATCTAAATAGAAAGTAATTAAGAAAAAAAACCACTTGGTAAATGGAGCCAAATTGAAATGCAGAATCTCCTTACAGCTTTCATATTAAAGCTTTCTAGTCTCGGCTGGGGGAGCTTTGGAATTAAAAAATATGAAGAGAGAAACTATCACAAATAAGGGAATTAGCTGCCATTTGTACTTTATACCTAAGAACTTTCAGTCATTGATTCTCTTTCATCATCATCATTTTCAAACCGGTAGGCACTTGGGGATTTGAAAACCTTAACCAAACTAAATAAAATTTATCTTGTGTAAACCATAAACAATAATGAATAAAATCTGTGCAGGAACAGCAATGTTTGCTTTCCACAAAAGTTAGAAAATCTTTAAATGTCAGTAAATCCTGGAAGAACCAGGGGAAGCTGCTGCTATTTCCTGTTTGAGGCTTTCCTTGCAGTAGTGGCTGACATTTAACATGTGCTGTAGCTCTGAGCTATTGCACAAAATGGCACCAACCTCTCCTTGCTGTTTCAAGTGTCTTCTTTAGAGTCCCACAACTTAAAGCCTTCTAAAGACAGCAGGTAAAGCTGAAGAATTTGAAGAAGGGGTAGAGGGGTAAAAAGGTAACTGAATCAGTTGGATGTAAACATGGTTTCTTCCTTAAGGTTACCAGACAAAATTGAATCTATTGTGAAATAATGACAGTCCACAAAATAAATGAAGGAAATACCATTGCCCAAGAC